CCAAGAACAACAAAGGTCGACACTAAATTTTAGAATGCAAATTTGCAATCCAGTAGCAAGGGTCGACACCAAGAACAACAAAGGTCGACACTAAATTTTAGAATGCAAATTTGCAATCCAGTAGCAAGGGTCGACACCAAGAACAACAAAGGTCGACACTAAATTTTAGAATGCAAATTTGCAATCCAGTAGCAAGGGTCGACACCAAGAACAACAAAGGTCGACACTAAATTTTAGAATGCAAATTTGCAATCCAGTAGCAAGGGTCGACACCAAGAACAACAAAGGTCGACACTAAATTTTAGAATGCAAATTTGCAATCCAGTAGCAAGGGTCGACACCAAGAACAACAAAGGTCGACACTAAATTTTAGAATGCAAATTTGCAATCCAGTAGCAAGGGTCGACACCAAGAACAACAAAGGTCGACACTAAATTTTAGAATGCAAATTTGCAATCCAGTAGCAAGGGTCGACACCAAGAACAACAAAGGTCGACACTAAATTTTAGAATGCAATCCAGTAGTAAAGGTCGACACCAAGAATGATAAGGGTCGACACCAGGAACACCTGGAACTCAACTCAGAGAAGAGAAGAAAGCGAAAGGTCGACACCCAATCTGCAGGGGTCGACACCTATAATTCTGGGTTTAAAAAATCTCACCTGCCAAATCAGATTTGGACTGACATAGCCCTTTTCTAAGCCACTTTTTCAAAGTTATGGGTAGAATATGTCATCTTTTTTTACCTTTGAGCAGATCTTCTGGCACAATATCCTCTCTAAGAAGTTGACCTATGAAAGAGAGCATTAAATGAAAAGCTTGTGCATTTAATGATCATTCTCTTCCCAATACCTGTATACAGTCTGTCTTCTCCATACTCTGATCAAACACAGCTGAAAGATTTCCTCCAATGGCTAGGAGATTCAAATCTCCTCTCTCTAACAACTAGAAGCTTTTAATGCTATAAAGATAAAGTTCTTATTCAATCTACACTTGTTCAATACAAAGAAACCCAGAGCATTAAACAGCAATCAAGAGCTTTTAATATACTCCATTGTACTTCCATTTTCACATCCGAGTGAGTCTTAAATTACCTGTGAGCTTACACTTTCATATCCATCTTTTGAGAGAGAATATTTGTAAAAAATGACAGTGGTGTTGACCTACACCACATGGGACCCACATGAGTGCCATGTGAATATTTGGTATAATATTAAATGTAATTTATTTGAAGAGTTTAGCAATTTTATAATCTAAGACATTACTGTAATTAATGTCCAGTTAGGCACAAATCCGTAAATTATCACCAACAATTCGAATTTTCATACATTTAATTTCCAATACACAACTTATCTAATTTAAGCCCAAAAACTTTCTTAAATAACATGTTTGCCAATTAGTGAATGTTTTGATTATTGTTATTTATTTTTGGTTTTCTACAAAAAATAATTGCTAATTTTATTTTGAGTGCTGCTGGGGTGTTGGCGATCGTTGCTGGTTTATAAGAACCCCAAGTTAACAATAATGGTTAAACTTTTTATTTTGTTTTATTTCAATCCCAATCTGATTGCATCAAATCGACTCAAAACGACATAGAACGGTAATTTTAATTATCAAAATGGACTACTTCCCTGCGGTCCATCAATAACACAAAAAATCTACAAAATTGAACACTCGTTATAGGAAGTGGAAACAACAACACACATTAATAAAAGAGTATTAAATAGAAAAATATTAAAAGAAAAATATTATAGATAAATAATTTTTAGGGAGAATTACAATTCAGTAAGTTTTTGAAAAAATATATAAAATACATGAAAAAGTTTAGATTTTTAATTATTAATATTTATAAAGTTTACCACTTATGTGTGTGTGTGTGTTTTTTTTTTTCCTTTTCTTTCTAAACTTACACTAAATTGTATTTTTCCCTAATTTTTACTAAATTTTCTTACACGTAGAGACACAAAGTTAATAAAACATAGAATCCATTAATTTTGTCTCTAGTAAAATAAAAATATAAAAAAAAGAAGATAAAAAAATCCATTTATGTATGACAATTTTCTATTAGAAATATTGGATTATAACATGTAAAATTCGTACGAAATTGTTAGGGAAAATATGTGATTCCCCACAAGTAAATCAATTAATGGGAATAAAAACTAATGCGGAAAAATTAAATCAAAGGCAACACAAGAATTTTACATGGTTCCCTCAATGTGAGGTACGTCACGAGATCGAAATCCGATTCCACGATCAACCAAATAACTTTCCAAACGATTACAAACGAGGCACGAATGGTCTTACAAACCACCCTTAGGCGAATTCCAAATAATCACAAATAAACAAGAGGAAAGACCTCACCAAATAGATGAACCAAAATCTTCAGAACCAGAGTTGTAGAAGACGCAAAATAACAACTCAAATCAACTTCACCAAAGCACCCAAACAAAGATGCACCAAAGCCTATCTCACCGATCAATTGATCAAGAAGGTGCTGCTGCTCCAAATGCAAAAATGGCTACCCTTTTCTCTTTTTTTTTTCCCTTTTTAAAACAAAGCCACATATATATATACATATATATATATATATGGTTAAGTCTTGAGTTTGTTTTTATATGTGTGTGGTTAAGTCTTGAGTTTGTTTTATTAAACTCTAGTTGTATCCAAATTGAATTGGGTCTCTAAAAATTAGATATAACATATTAAAATATATTATTCCCAAACCAAACTAAATTAAAATTCTTTTTCCAAAACCAATTGGGTCTCAAACTCCAATAAGGAGATATACCCCAACAATTCTCTCTCTATCGACTTAGGTGGAGACATCAACCATACCCACCAAAATTCGACACTTTAAATGTTTGGCCCTCGACAAAGTCTTAGTCAACATATTCGAAATATTATCATCTGTGTGAACCCTTTCGAGTTGCAACAATTTCGAATCTAACACATCACGAATCTAATGGTACCTCACATCAATGTGTTTTGATCTCGAATGAAAAGTAGAATTTTTACTCAAGTGAATAGCACTTTGACTATCACAATAAAGCACATAATTTTTTTGCTTCAAACCCAACTCTTTCAAAAATTTCTTCAACCATAACTCTTCTTTACAAGCTTTCGTAATGGCAATAAATTCAGCTTCGGTAGTTAAGAGAGCAACACATTTTTGTAATTTAGATTGTCATGCCACAGCTCCCCCTGCAAATGTCATCAAATACATCGAAGTAGATTTCCTAGAATCAACATCACCGGCCATGTCAGAATCTGTGAACCCATCAAGCATCGGCTTACCATCCCAAAAACACAAGCACACCTTCGAAGTCCCTCGAAGATACCTTAAAATCCATTTTACCGCTGCCCAATGTTCTTTACCCGGATTAGAAAGAAACCGACTCACCACACCAACAGCGTGAGCAATATCCGGCCTTGTACAAACCATGGCGTACATTAAAGAACCAACTGCTGAAGCATAAAGAATTTTTTGCATCTCTTCCTTGTCTTTCTCACTTGTAGGACATTGATTCGAACTAAGCTTGAAGTGACCCGCAAGTGGACAACCAACTGGCTTTGCTTTATTCATGTTGAACCTCTCAAGAACTTTCTCAATGTAGCTTTCTTGAGATAACCAAATCAGCCCCTCTTTGCGATCACGAACAATTTTCATACCAAGTATTTGCTTTGCCGGTCTCAAATCTCTCATAACAAAAGACTTGCTCAACTCCAACTTCAACTTGTTAATCATGGTAGAATCTTGACCCACAATTAACATGCCATCAACATAAAGCAAAAGAATAATAAATTTGCCATTTGAAAATTTTTTTTCAAACACACAATGATCCGAAGTGGTTTTAGAAAAACCATTATTCATCATGAAAGAGTCAAATTTTTTGTACCATTGCCGCGGGGCTTGCTTGAGACCATACAAACTTTTCTTCAATTTGCAAACAAATTTCTCTTTTCTAAAAAACAGAGAAAGGATCAAAGGTCCTTTCAAACTACTGATTGGGAGCTCAACATTATCAAAAGATATAATATGCTCCCTCCCTCCCTCCCTCCATACCACAAAACACATAATGCAGCCACCTACCAAGCCTTACCTATTGCTTAGAGACAACGAAAAGGATTTCCTAATGTTGAATAGCTTGATATACATTGTTGTGTCCATTTCCTAATAGTTTAAGCTTTTAGGATAATTGGTGACTTAACATTGTGTCAGAGCTCTCCGTTGGCATTTGGTATTCTGTCCGCATTAGTTTCTTCTTATCTATTTGGTTGTTTACTTCTTTTGTTTGGTTCTATCATTGTCTCTCCACGTGCAAGACAGGTTGCATGTGAGAGAGAATGTTGAATAGCTTGATATACATTGTTGGGTCCATTTCCTAATAGTTTAAGCTTTTGGGACTATTGATGACTTAACACTTAACACCTAACTCCAAAACTATGGTATCCTAAACCAATTAAAGTTAAACTAACTAGGACTTAATAGAACCCATTACAAAACAAAGGTAAAATAATTGAAATATCCCTAGTTCTGTTAAGGTACAAGAATGCCCCTGACACTGAAAGCTCTAGTCTGTCTTAATGAAAATTTACATGTGACACCAGTTGCAGGATCAAAATGAATGTCCCATTTTCCCCATCCTTTTCAAGCATACACCTTAAGAGTTCAAACCCCATCACCCTTTCAGCCACATATCTCTCTATATATATGCGCACGCACGCGCGCGCGCACAGAGTATTATAACATTTGTAGTGGGCACACATTCTTGACATGATATTTGTAATATACTTAAAAGTTATAAACCATTTGGGTTTTATGTTTGAAACATGTAGAATACTCAAAAGTCATGCATTTTTAGTTATGAGTAGGGCTTCTCTGTATCTCTAAGCTAATCATATAAATTACTCTTTCATTTCTTCATTCTGTACACTTGTTATTTCTCTGATAACCTACTCTTTCTTTGTGCACTTGTTATTGCTTTATCATCCATGAATTTTATCCTGATTAGTGGTTACATGTTAGGCACCTAAGGGGGAGGAGGCTTCTGGCATTGAACGTTCAACATTTGCATTATTCATGCAGCCTGACTGGTAAGCTTATTAGTGAAAACAAATCTTTACTTGTTTTACGGTTACATGGTACTCTTAGATGGAATGATCTTGTTCACTGTCAGCAGCGACTTCTCTAATATTGCGAGTTTAGTAAGAATCTCAGTTGTGAAATATGATGTAGAAACCTGGAAAGAATGAACAAATTATGAGACGCAAATTGAGGTGTAGATCCACCAACTAATTCCAAAATAATCTTGCAAGCCTTGATTTTGATTACTTATCCCAAAAAAGCCTTGATATGGATTACACACACACATTCACACACATCTGGACCATGCATGTGGTTTTGTTTATGACGTCAATAAAGCATCAAAGTCCCTGCTTTTACCACATCCCTCTTTTCTAATTGCATGAGAAAGGAAGTTTTAGTTCTTGCAGTATGTCGTATCTGAAAAGTTTTGGTTGCCTTTATGTGCATCATGTCTAATATTAAGATTATTATATTTTCTGAACAAAGGAAACATAATTATTATTATTAGCATTTTTGTTTTCAGTCAAAAAATTTTAGCCAAAATAAAGTGCTCCTGTGAGAATTTAGCATACTCCATTTGTTTCTAATTCAATGTACCATTGCTTTATGTTGTCACTCTAAATGCAATTGAAATGTGCTAAAGCACAGTTAGACTGCTATTGGGAGTGCTAGGTTCTGCATTAGAATCAATGTCAATTGACAACTAAAATTTTAGCAAGTCTTGATTCATGAATATCCATCCATTTGAATTAATTATCTTTCTGTGCAAGTATGAAATGTCAGATTTAAAGTTCCTTGAAATCTAGAAATCATACCCATAGTTATCAGAGCAAGTCTAGCAGGTGGGAAGTGAAAGTGAGAATCAGGATTCCGTAGACAGGGAATTAAGAAGTAACTCTGACCTATTACAGACGTAAAAGCATTTCAACATGTTAAGACTCCAGAGCTTACAATAATAATGTGTAAAGAAGTATTAACTTGGTGGTGCATAAATCAACCAAAAAAAAAAAACAAAAGAAAAGAAAACAAAAAAAAGAAAAAGAAAAGAAGCATGACCAATAAATTGTCATGTTAAAGTAATGTAACATTGTAGAATATAAATACTAAAACTTAATTACAGTAGTTGTTATTAGTTCATTAGCAGTTGCAGCCATTTGTTATCTTAACAAGTAATATATATTTTATTTATTTATTTATTTTTTCTGGTGAAGGATAACTCCTTAGAAACCTTACAAATCCATGGTTATCAACTGAGCATAGAATGCTTATGAAATTGGGGAAAAGATAAAGAAAGAAAAATAAGAACTCTGAGTAGTAGTGGTTTGTAAATTGTCTAAACCATGCTTGCACTGGGGTGTGCTTTCCACCATTAAAGAAGTTTCTGGTAGCCATGGTCCTCATGCACTTTGCTTTATTAGCAGTATGAATGAGTTGAATCATGTAGGTTACAATGAAACATGTTTTATACTGAATCTTAAAGTAATTATCCAGGCGTCCAAATCTTCATAACTCTTCAGGAATTTATTTACATGGACTTTTTGGTTTTATTGTCTCCTAAGGCTGTGTTTGTATCAATGATTTAGAAGGGGATTTGTCGATGGGAAGGGAAAAAGTGGGAAAAAAAATTTAACTCATCGTTAACTTTTTTCCCTCCTTTTTCCCTTTTCCTTCACAAATTCCTACTCAAATTCACAGCCTAAAGAAAATGAAATTGGAAAGAAACTTATGTTCGTTTCTAAAGGTCATAACTTCTGTTATCAGAATCTTACGATTCGCGATTCGATACGCAATTTTTGCAAAATTGATACGAATCTATGAGTGAATCTATTTTGGAAGTGAATCTCTAGTGAATTGCACGATTCACGATCGATTCACGATTCGATTCACTTTTTACGATTCATGCAATTTTTGAAATTATTGTGTTCGACATATTTTCGACTCATTTTTTCTATTTTTTTTAGTGAAAATGACATAATACAACTTCTAATGGCATTTAATACCAAAATAACCAACATATATATATGATTTGTTGTTATTTTAGTGATCATGGAGTTTTTTATAGCATCCAATCAGATTCAGTCAGACCTAACATATTTTGAACATTTCTTTTCATTTTTTTTCCCTTCAAAAAATTGTAATGTATCTTCTAAAGATGTTTAAGATTAAAGTTACACTATGAATTATCTATTACTATTTTATTAAATTGAATATTACATGTGTGAGGTCAGTTATACCTTTTAAAATATTTTATGCTTTAAAATAAAATATCCTAAATAATTCTTTTTTATTATTTGCTTACTCTTACTTAAAAAAGTATATATGCTTGTTGTCCAAATATCAATATCGTTGTTAACTATTGTTACGTTAGAAATTAATAGTTTGTCTATTTGGTTATTATCTTTATTAAGAATGGTTGATAAAAAATATCTATAAAAAAAAAAAAGAAAAGAAGAAGGTAAGATGGTGATTTTACATAGGAATCTTTGTTAATTTCTTACCTATTAAATTACGTGATTATCATTCAAAATAACATTTTTTGTTGATTTAAGTCTAAATATTTTATATTCATAAGATATATTTAACATCTAAATGTGTAGATATATGCTTTTAAGTAATTTAGAAAAAGTGACCAAATCTTTACGATTCATGATTCGATTCAATTCGCAATTCGGTACGAGGTCATTTCGATTCATGATATGAACCCCGATTTGACAACTATGACTCATAACTGACGCCTCCACTTTGTCAAAGCTTCTCAGGCTATCTTGTTCAATCTTCTTACTGGTGCTAATTGATTTTGGTTGATGTTCTCTATTTTGTTCCCCAGTGACTATTTGCTTGACCAAAATGGAAAATATTGCTTATGATCCAATAAATTGTGTTTTCTTAAGAATCATCACATACGGAACTGACTTTTCTTTAACAAATAGAGCTAGACACCTTAGTGAGACCACTGAAATGGCTTATGTGCTGTTTAGCTCCATCTTCTGATTAAATCCCTGTAGTCTTCTTAATGACATTTCACTATCTATGGGACTAACTGGACATATGTGAAGCTTTTAAGTCTCTTTGTCGATCAGTTCAGTAGCATCTGAACGTCACTCAAGCTCTAAATTTACACTCCGTTTGTTCTGGCAGAAACATAGAAAATGTTTTCTTTTGTTTAGTTGCTACCTTGAAACCAATATGCTAGTGGTTGTATTAGTGATGGTGGTGGTGATGGTAGTGATGATGGTAGTGGTGGGTTGGTGGAGGTGGTGGTAGTATGGTGGGATGGTGGAGGTGGTGGTGGTAGTATAGTGGCATTGGTAAAGACTTCAATCCATAAAATGTTTTCACCCAAATAAGCTTTTTTTCGTTGGCCACAGAAAATGTTTTCGTTAACTTTCATTTTTTGTTGTACTAAATATTAGAAAATGCAGAAAACATTTTTCACCGAAACAAATGGAGTATTAATTTTGAACATGTTACAAAATGAAATGCCTAGTTCTGATTTCATTTTCTTATTCAAATTTCAGGGATGAAAAGCTTAATTTTCCTGAGGTGGTCCATATCCATCAGGAGGTATGTTTTTTAAACCCTGAAACCCTGTGATTCACTTGGTATATCAAGGAATTCCATCATGTGAATAAAAAATGATCGAAGACCATTTGACAATCCAATAGAACTTAAGGAGCTACCGAAATTATATTTTAATTGACACTAATACATCGCTATAGTTGCCAAAATGAAAAATAAAAGGGTTACGCTTAAGACAACATAAATGTTTAATGGGTTGCCTTGATAACTTGGCCTATTGAACTTAGTTGACGTTGTAAACAGTTCATACTGATGCAACTCAAATTAGTTGTGCCCAAGGTTTTAAAAAGCGGCCGCAACCGTTACGTAACGCCGTTACGTAACGGTTTTGGCAGTTTCCGCCACCCGTTATGGCCGCTTTTGCAGTGTGATTGAGATTTACAGGTGTGTTGGCCGTAGCGGTCGTAACAGTGCCGTAACAGCCATAACGGCATGTTACGCATCGTTACGTAACGGTTCCAAACTGTTTCTTTTGAAAAAACATACAAAAAAAAGCTGAAAATAGGGGAAGAGGGATAGAGAGAAGAGTAAAGATAAAGAGAGAAAATAGAGGAGTAAGAGATAGAGAGAGAAGAGGGAAGATGAAGAACATATTATTGATTTGTTGAAGTTGTAAAACCTATGCTATTCTATTCAGGTGCTATCACTCAACCATTTTATTTGTGTGTCTATCTATATATTGTTTGAAAATAATAATAATAATAATAATAATAATAAGTGTGATCATTATCTATTTGGCTTGGTTAAAATATGTATATATATATATATATATATTTAGGCTCTTATTTATTCTCTTACTTTTGTCATTGTTTATCTTATATATAATAGTTAGTGATTGATTTTTTGTATAATATAAAGTCATTAATTATTAAAATAAAATGTAAAAAACTCAATTTATAGTGATTTAAAAATATGAAATATATTGCATCATACTTAAAAATTTATAAAAATTGATCAATATTTATTTTGAACCCTCTTTCTGACGCCGTGAATAAGTCTTAAGATCAGCTCTGTCCAAACGACCATCGATATCCGACGACTCATCAACAGAACTGCTAGGCTCCCCCTCACCACAAATAACAGCCCGCTGATTAGAAAGGAAAAAAGACAACTCATGTTGATGTGATGCCGTCTCATCCGCAATCTCATTAATACCACTCTCCTCCTAAGGAAATAACGGAGGACCAGAAAAAAGGACTCAGATTCACGGAAGGTGACATCCATTCTAACGTACAACTTATGAGTGTGAGGGTCATAGCATTTGTAGCCCTTCTGAGTAGCAGAATAACCAAGAAAGACACACCGGACAGCCTTAGGATCAAGCTTCCCACGAGTACGAGGTTGAAGATGAACAAAACAGACATTACCAAAAACCCGAGGCAGAAGGGAAGAAGCGGGATAAGTCACAGGAAGAAGCTCAAGAGGAATTTGGAAGTGGAGGACACTAGAAGGCATACGGTTAATAAGGTAAGCCGCGGTAAGAACAACATCCCCCAAAAAGACTTAGAAACGTTCATGGTAAACAAGAGAGAGCGAGCAATCTCAAGGAGGTGGCAATTCTTGCGTTCAGCAACTCCATTCTGTTTAGGAGTGCCAATACAACTAGTCTGATAAAGAATGCCATACTCCTCGAGGTATGCCCTGAAAGCTCCATTAACACATTCAGTCCCATTATCACTCCTAAGAATTTTGATAGTAGCATTGAAGAGATTGGATAACATTTGTGAAAACTTTTGAAGCACGAGAAAATCTCATTTTTAGTGCGAAGTAAATAAATCCAAGTCACACGGGAATAACAATCAATAAAGGTGACAAACCACCGATAACAAGAGGTAGAAACCACAGGGGAAGGACCCCACACATCGGTATGAATAAGAATAAAAGGAAAAGTACTTCTTTTATTAATTGAAGGATAACAAGTACGTTTATACTTAGCAAGCTCACAAGCATCACAAACAAAGTTATTCCTAGGACAATCATGAACTAATAAAGGAAAAAGTTGCTTTAAAATGCTAAAGGAAGGATGCCTCAAACGGCGATGCCACTGATGAAGAAGACGAAGGGAGGAGCCAGAAGTGCTTTGAAGAGCATGAGAGGACAAATGTGAGGTAGGAATGGCATCCAGAAAGTACAATCCACTTTGTGCTCTATCATTGCCAATCATTTTCCCCGTAGCTAGTTCATAAAAGACACAATGAGTCAGAAAAAATGTTACAGAGCAATTGAGAGCAGTAGTAAGGCTACTAACAAAAAGTAAGTTAGTTGAAAAATTAGGAACATGAAGAACAGATGAAAGCAAAAGTAAAGAGGTGCAATCAAGGTTTTAAAAAGCGGCCGCAACCGTTACGTAACGCCGTTACGTAACGGTTTTGGCGGTTACCGCCACCCGTTACGGCCGCTTTTGCAAT